TTTTTTTAGGTTCATAACTACGTCAACTGGTTCCCTATTTCATATCAATAACCTAGCACACGTCGTTTTTTAATAAAATTATTTTCAAGTTTTATACATTTTATTGCTATTAAAGGCGCTTTCATTTTCCTCTTTAGCCCTTGATAGACAAAGGACAAATGTACCATACAGCCTGTATCGATTTTAAACTTTGTGCAATCGATTTATTTTGTTAATTTACTTTTTTCATCGAAATTCAATGAAACGCTCATGAGGCGTGCACTTTTGGATTTTCCGAACTATTTTATGTTGACTTATATCGTTTTCAAATTTGGTGCATACGATGTGGTTTTGATACATTAATTATCTCATTTATTACAGTAATCAAGCAGGGGGTTTATCAAATATAGCTTTTAAGCAACTGTAAGTAATAATTTTTTATTTATTTAATGAGATTCAAGAATCTGTTTCATTGAATAATTCACACGAAAATCAATTCGAGTATAAATTCGTCCCAATCTGTATTCATTTGTAAGCGAAATTTGCAATCAGTAAAGCTTCTTTCAGTACTGCCGATTCAATATCGATATTTTATTTTAAGCAGATATTAGAATATGTAATACTAATATTGCATTACTTTTGTCGTAATTTAATTTAAACATATTAAACGAATTAAGGACAACAGTGTATTAAAATATATTTAATTTGTCCCGTTTTAAAAGTCTGATGATATTACCGGCCTTTTGATTTGTTTAGCCTTACATTTGAATACAACTAGAAAATTAAAATCGGAATTAATAACCGCAGTCATCAGTATTCTAAGCAATTCGATATGTATTATGGACGTCGGCAATGAGCACATGTAAATTGATTTTAATTTATATTTCGTTTAGGGAAAATACGCATGCAGTAAAGTAATTTGCAATCGTTTCGTCATTAATATAAGAAAAAGAAACTGTGTATATTAAATACACGCTAGGGTAGTACTTAAGGATAAATTATCCGAAATTTAAATTTTAGTTTGGTAGTGGAATAATTTTTCTGCCTCTAGTTAGTTTGAATGAGTTTTTAACATACTAATGGCAGTACTTAACTACTGTTCCATCAGATAGATGTGGTGATGCAGTGGTTCGAAGGTGGTATCTCCTTAAAAAGGGGTGGAGAATCCCTGCTCGTAGTAAAAGGGGTTTGTCAATGTGATAGTAGAAAAAATTTAAGTATAAATAATTTCCTGAAGCCATTAAAACTAGAGTATACAACCAGTATGTATTATCAGTTATGACATAATATGGAACCGAGACATAGTTATTCACTGATAGACGTAAGAGGAAAGTCGTTTAGTGATAGAGAGTTATGCTTGGAGTTTAACAGAATAACCCAGCTATGCCAATGGGCCGGCAACATATTTAGACGGAGCGACAGCCGATGGGTACGAAAGGTTCTAGAATGATAGTCTCGTACCGGTAAGCAGAGTTTACGACGCTTCCACCCCCTACCCATCCCTACCCTACCTTTCACTATTACACTATTGTACAACAACCCGTCTGGTTTTTTCCTGTGTCATTTAAGATCAGATAAATTTATCCGATATATTGTAGAAATGTTTGTATTAAAAAGGCTATTCAAAATTATCTAAGTGTGAGAATTTTTGTGTTAGAGACGTAACAGAATTCATCCCATTCGTTCTACTAAGAGTCGACTAGTTTCGGACATTTGCGGTTACATAAAAACATCGATCTTTCTGATGGTGTTGATGCAATTCGCTTGATTGTATTATGTCCTTTCTTTTTGGTGAATCACAAAATAAAATTTATGTTACATGTACAAGTACTTATTTCATTAATAAGTAATTATTCGTGTAAATTTACATACTGATGAAACACAACAGCCCATTAGAGTATTAAATACCGCAACAAAGTATCCTATTTAATTAGTTAGTTCCAAAGCGAATTAAGGAATTTTGTGTAAAGTTATGAAGTATAAAATATTAGTAATTTAATTAATAAGTATTTTGTTACTAACAAGTTAATTAAAATAAAATAATTAATGTTCGCCCGTTACTACTAATTTGTTAATTTATTAAAAACTAGCTTTCGATGATGCTTCTCGCAATATTTATTTAATTCTCCGGCGGAAGAAATTGAAATGTTGTTTTTAAAACGTCATTTGTTTTTAAATCTACTATCGTTTTGAAATTTGAGTGGGCGGAAACGGAGGAAAGAATTCGTCGCTTATCATATTTTTTGTATTTTCAACGGTTAATTTTATAATAGCTTCAACATCATCATAATAACAGTCCTTAAAAGTCTACTGTTGAACATAGACCTCCCACAAAGCGCGCTACTGAGCCACCTGCATCTATCGACTTCCTGCATTCTGGCAGTCATCCTTACCAGGTCGTCACTCCATCTAGTGGAGGAGAGGAGGGGGAAATAGAAAAGTTTGTAAACGATCTACTGCTAAATAGCGTAATAAACTAAAAAGTACGTAAAAATTTGGAGCTGATCAGTGCATAGCAAGCTCGAGCAGACTAGTCCCCTCAATCCGCACATGTTTATCATCATCATCATCGTTATCACTTAAACCCTTCACGAGTTCACTAAGCCACCTGCATTTTTATCAAGTCGTCACTACATCTAGTGTGGGGGGGGGGGGTTACTTTGTCACTCTGAGGATTTAGATGAAATTTTTCACAGTACCTATGTTTAGGATCAATTTACCTATTGTGACCATTTACATAGTTGTGACAATTGTGACTTAAAACATTAAAATATATTCGTCATATTTTTTAGAACAATCTTCGCCTCAAAATTCGTTCCTATCGATTTATAGAAAAATATAAAATTTAGGTTTATTCGTTTTAGAAATTCTGTAAGGGTATCGATAATGCACAAACATTTGCTAAACGTGAGTAAACTTGTGAGGAAGGGCTTAGAAATATTACTCTAAGACAAACTTGTTACATAATGAGTTCATATATCTAAAAATGTTTTTTTTTAAATTATTTTTCGATGTAAGTTGTAAACTTAAACAAAATACTATATTGAAATATTCTAGATTTTTTTTGTAAATTTGAATTTATTTCGTTTGTCAAGATGGTTTAGCAGGTTCGACTCACAATTTAAGAAAATCTGTCAAGAAGTTCTCAATAGCAGCCCGGTTTCTCTGGCTACACGTAAAACCGTTGGACCTGCGTCTGATCTCCCTAGTCATGTTGGATTGCCGTCTCATCAGACTATGAGAGTGAGGGATTTTTTTTTAATTTGCTGGAGAGTCACATGTGCTTGCGCACATACTCGTGCACAACAATACTTTTCTGTGCAGCTTTGACTTGGAGAACGTTATTATTATGTTGACGTGACGTTATAAATTTTTAAATTATGAATAAAAGGGTATAATTTAAGTTTTTATATTAATATTAAACTTCAATATTTTTAATTGGTTATAATCAGGTGAAAAACGAGCACATGGTCCACCTGAGCCAACCCATTCATCCAAAAACTATACCTAAACCTGGCTTTCCCACATTTACTTTTGGTTTTTCTTTATTAAATTACTTTCTCATATAATTATTTATTTCGCATTTAATAAAACTAAAATTTAAATTTAATTCACCTTTTGCCAAAATTATGAACATGATGTTTTCTAAACAAGCTGTGTTGACATAGTAAACTAACGTAACTAATGTACTTTATTGCTACAGTTAAAATTGCCTCATGAATATTTAACGAGCTACCATTTTCGACGTTCAGTGGTCATACTTGCCTCACATTATTCCAGACATTTTCACAAACTATTCAACTGCACTGTCAAATCAAATATTATTAATAATATACTGTAACAAAACATTGTTTTTATACAACAAAATGTTAATGTGGCAATGTCTGCAAAGACACAAATAGCCGGAGTACCTCAGAAGCCAAGCGCTCGCCGTAAATTTCACAGTACGTGAGCCAGTTCGATTCCCGTGGGCACTAAAATATTTCAATTTTAAGTGTTGATTTACCACAACCCTGGCGGGCGGTAAAGGAAAATATTGTGAGGAAACCTCCATGTGTGAGAATGCAAATTAAAATATTTCGAAGACATGTGAAGTCCGTAAACACAGTTTGCGGCTATGTATATTAGTATTGAGGAAATATTGATGGTATAGTGATCTCCGATACCAGGGTCGTTAATTTAAAAATATTAACAGTATATCTAGGAGTAACAATGTGACCAACGAGGATTTTAAAACAAATCCAGTAGGTCTACTACCTTTTCTGAAGCCTCACGCAATGATGTGGTAGTAGACTTACGATGTTTTATAAATACGTACCTATGACAGGTGCCCAGCTCTATGGAACCAATAAGTCTAAATTATTATGTAATTTTGGTCGTTTAGCATAATTTTTAAAAATTCAGGGGTGGCAGCACAAGACGAAAGAGGACGTTTTCAAGCTACTGGACTGGAAAGGATCTACGTCAATGGCGAGTATATCACTCACCTTCGATTTGACGACGATAAAGTATCTACTTATGGCAGAATCGCTGGAGGAGCTAAGCACTATGCTCGATGACCTCAATAGTGTTTCCTAATGGATAGGTCTTAACATTAACATGGACAAAACAAAAGTTATGTGTAACATCCATGTTACACCTATTCCGGTAATTGTTGGGAGCACTAAGCTCGAAGTTGTTGACAAATATGTTTACCTGAGACAAATAATCCGACTAGGTAGGTCCAACTTCGACCGAGAGGTCAATCGACGAATTCAACTCGGCTGAGCAGCCTTCGGGAAACTACGACACATCTTATCATCAGGCATACCTAAAACTCAAAACTAGATTGTATTACCAGTGTGCGTTGCCAGTGATGATCTGTGGATCTGAGACGTGGTCCTTCACTGCTGCTCGTATGAGGAAGCTCAAAGTCGCTTAGCGATATATGGAGAGTGCTATGCTCAGAGTTTCTCTGCGTGATAGACTTAGAAACGAGGATATCCACAGCAGAACCCGAGTAACCAACGTAGCCCAACGGTTTAGTAAGGTGAAATGACAAAAGACCGGCCATATAGCACGAAGAACCGACAACCGATGGGAAAGAAAGGTTTTCGAGTGGCAGCCTCGTACCGACAGGCGAAGTGTCGGGCGTCCCCCCAGTAGATGGAGTGACAACCTGGTAAGAAATGCAGGAAGTCAATGGATGCAGGTGGCTCGGGACCCTGCTTTGTGGTGTTCCTTGGGGGAGGCCTATGTTCAACAGTGGACTTGTGAAGGGCTGTAATGATGATGATGAAATTAAAAAAAATGTTGTTGTCCTTTTTAAACCACAATTTGTTAAGTAATTGAATTTGGAATATTTTAATTTAAATCTCTCAAAACTGATAGGCATTTACCAGCTGTGGTACATATATATGCTGTAACTAACTAATTCAGCTTTATTAATCTAATTTTTTTTTTCTTTTGTTATTTATCGTATGAATTAAGTATGATGCAGGATAAATCCACATTTTATTTCTTTATAGACAGTATATTTATAACAACATCGATTAATTTCCTTAGGCTTTACACAATAAATAAATTCCCACAGGTAGACGTAGCCAACGAATGATTTCAGTGCTTAATGTTGCACGCCCAATATTCCCAGCTCCCAAAACTAGTTAACACGTAATCGCTTCAAGGCTTATCAAACGCTAGGATTTTTTTTTGGGAAAGAAAGAAGATATAAATAATAAATAGCATGTCTGTTAACGTATCTTAGTATGACGTGCTATAAATGAAGGAGACTTATTTTTATTATTTTATATGAGAAAATTCCTTCAAATACAAATATCTTTTTATATAGTATTTTTGACGACTTCGAGATCATCATTATTACATAGGAGCTATTATTTACACAACTAACAAATGTGTATTTCTTGACTTGTGATGGATGTGACCTGCATGCGATTCTATCTCCTAATAATTCATTGCAGAAGCATTTACTTCATATACTATTAGGTTCAGACGAAAGGTTTGCTTGTACACTTATTGCATTTTGGTATGTCCTACGTTAATAGTTTTTAGTTGTTTGTTTTCGACTAAATTTGAAAGTTGCTGCCGTCGTGGAAATCGGCTAAGGGAACATCATCGTCATCATAATTTTTAATATGTACACAAGAAACAATTGATATTGGTCAATGCGGTTATAATAATATAATATATTGGTTTAGTGCCAAAGTAGTAACCACAATATCTGCTGCGCTGGACTTAATTTATTTTATGCATATTAATTTTTCTAAAGTCCGGAGTGAAAATCACCACTAAATCTATCGAGAAGGTCACATCAATGTCTACCGGGCCAGCTAGTTTATTATGTTCTAACAAATTAAGCTATACAAATCTGCCCTCTTTTACTTTTCGATATATATTTAGTAATGATTAAACGCTATTCCATTTTCAAATATATGTAACAAACTGTTAACAGCTGTATCTCATTTATTTAGAGCAGTTATGAATAACGCAATTCACAAAATTCAAAATTATTCCATGACTCTATTCTTATACTAACTATTCATAAATATTAATCGAAATACGCAATTTTTATCCCCAGTTCTTGGAAGCGCTCTTCTGTAAATTTACAATATTGTTTTTTTTAAAACTTACATCGGAGGTATTAAAATAGTTGTGTAATATATTTTTCTATTGTGATGTTAAACCGCACTAATAATGTGATGTATTTCAGAAACTTATAACAAAGTTTGCTGCGTCAAAAAATACTTTCCTGAAATATCTTTTCAATTTTATCTATTTATTTTCGATATTTTAGAGATAAAACATTAAGGCGTTACTTTGAGGAAAACCATTATTAATGATGCAAAAAAGTAAAACATGCATAAATCAATTTATAAATTTTTTTTATTTTTTTTTATTTTTATTTATTTATTTAAGGACAGCCAGAGGTAATTACAATAATACATGTGCACAAAACATAATATATAAGCTTTATTTTTATATGTAAATCCTATTAAAGGCAGCCACAACATGCTTCACAAGAAGAGTAACTCTTTATAACATAAATTACAAAATATTAGAAACATAACCTAAAAATAAATCAAAAACCGAGAAGTACCAAAAATATAAACCAATAAACTGAGAGACCTTAAAACAATACAGGGGGAAAATCACAAAAAGCAATTAAAAACCAAATAACAAAACTAATACATATCGAACTCTTAAATATTATCTCTTAAGTTCTTTAGCACTGTTTATTTAAAAGAGGACAAAGAATTGCTAAAAATGTCCACAGAATCCGACATCAAATTCAGCAAACGTGACATTCTAACTAAACTATTGTTATGACCTAGATTAGATTTAGAAGGAAGTGGATAGAACAAAGATACAGATTTACGCGGATAACGCCTTGGTACTTTAAGTTTTATTTTTCGCAATAGTTCAGCGCTGCCCGTAGTTTAGTTCCGCGCACTATTTTATAAAACATTACCATGTCCAGATACTTTCTTCGGTTTGACAAGCTGTCAACGCCGAAGAATTTTAACTTCTCATTATATCCGGCAAGTTTTTTTTGTCATTTATGTTACTACAATAAGCTAGATTCCTCATAAACCGTGTTTGTATCCTATTTTATTATATTTATATTTTTTATTTTTCGCCATACTACCTCCCCAAGCTAATAAGGGAGACGCTGTAAGAACTTATAACCCTCTAAAAGATGGAGTAACAAAACATACAGGAAATCGATGCGTGCAGATGATTCAGGACCATGTCATGAGCATTCCTTAGGAAAGCTTCATGCTCACCAGTCAACTTGTAAAACCTGTAATGATAATGAAGAAGTATTACTAATGAGCATACAGTCCACCTGATGGTAAATAGATGATGTAGGCATTAGATAACTACATGTTTACTCGATAAATAATCCAAGCGCAAATTGTGCGTAATCAAGCTCGAAGTAAGTATGGTCAAAATAAAACTTTTGGAAAGAAGTTCCTTATCGGACGGTACGGGTTTGGCGGATGGGAGCTAGGCGACAAAAAGTGTAAGATTTTTTCGTCACTACGAGTACCCCTTGTGTCATCATAGTGTATTTTATTTTAAATGACGCTTCATTTTAATAGACGCTAGTAATACATTTATTTTTATTTGTTAATCAATAATATAATACGTTTATCAATAATAAGGAACTTCGTTCCAACCGAGTGTGTAACACTCACGCATGTGTTTTTTTAATTAATTAATGATATTACTCTAAAACCTAAATGTAAGAAGTTGATTAAAAATAATCCAAGCTGTAAGTAAAGATTTGCTGAACGGCGTTCCAGTAGTGGGCTCATTTATTATACTTATATTTATATGAACAACACAATACGGTAAAAATATATAACGACAAATTAACGCGAAGTCTGAAAACGGACAAGCATTTTATTGCAGTGACAATTTACTTCTTTCACGTCGTTAAGCCCTGATTGAAATAAATTGCATCGGTAGTAACGGAGAGTCAGCAAATAATAGCGTTTTCAGACTGATTAATGAAAAGGCCAGTAAAATTTATGTCAACAGTTGACGGGATTCACTTAAAACTTAAAAAATATGTCTAGTGTAAACTATATTGCGTGGACTGAATAAACTAATGAGAAAGAGTCACCTCTAGTTGTGATCTTTTTTATAGAATAAGGGTGACAAACGATCACACATTCCACCTGATGGTAAGTGGATGCTGTGACCCAACCCATTGAATCAAAATGCAGATGTGTTGTCAACCCTGAGGTATAAGATGGAATATCTCGTTTCCAGTAAAATGGGTCTCCGGTTCTCTACACTCATCATAAGAAACACAGCAGTATTATGCTGCTATTTTACACTGGTATTCTGTGAGAACGTGATCCTGTCTCGATCGAGCCAACCCATTCGTGGTACAACCGTAATATAGCTACAGCATGGCTCTACCACGTACGTCAAGGATATTTTTAAGCATCTATTCAAATTATTACGGCATATATTATTACTTTTTTTATATAGGATAAGGGTGACAAACGAGCACACAGTCCACCTGATGGTAAGTGGTTGCTGCGGCCCATAGACATCTACATCTATCCTAGTTTGCGAATCAAAATGCAGATGCGTTGTCACCTCTGAGGACTAAGATGGAATGCCTCATTTCCAGTAAAAAGGGCCTCCGGCCACCTGCACTCACCAAGCGAAACGCAGAGGTAAGCCTCTACTTCACGTTGGTATTCTGTGAGGTCGTGGTACCACCCTGGTTCGAGCCGGCCCATCCGTGCGACAGCAAAAGCTGCCGCGTGGCTCTACCACTGTTAAAAATACTTATTGAAAGAATTTTTTTATTTACCACTAGTTCGGAAAATATCTCTGTTCTGGGAAGAACCAGCAAGAAACCCAACGTGATTTTTCTTTAAACATATTTGTCTTCACAATAATTTTGTTTTTTGATTGTACAAATTTTAAATGAGTTTTAATAGAACCAGCATTGCGGCGATCACCTCATTTCCAGAGGTTTTTTTTTACTTATGTAATCTTTGATATTATAATAACCCTTTTTGTTCAATGTTTCTTTAATAAAACATTTAAACTTGTTTATTGACAAAATTCATACATTTTCTGCGATTTTGTAGTAAAAACGTATAAATTGCCCCCATAAATGAATTACTAAATCTGTGGAGTGAAGTAACTGGTATTGCAAGCTTATGTTTGTTCCTAGTGTTTAAAGTATGAACATTTTTATTCTTATCAAAGATATTTATATTTTTATGTACATACACATTTCCATAAATATATAAATATGTTTATTTCTTTAAATTTTTCTCTAATGATTGAGTACGGGCGATTTATAACTTAAATTGTAATGAGGCCCTCATTACAATTTAAGTTATAAATCCCCCGTACGGTTCTCTTTTGCAAAGCAAATATAGCTACGATGTCAGTCGCATTACCCCATAGCAAAATTCCATAAGACATTACGCTATGAAAATAACTAAAATAAACTAATTTGAAAAATGTCTCAACATTGGTGAGATTTCTAATCTTACTTACAGAAATAAGTCTACTTGCTAATTTAGATATTTGGGGGCACCATTGAAGCTTCGCGTCAATATATACTTGATATGGCACATCGCCACTATATGATACATTTATACTAGCGATTCCCCCCGGCTTTAACGGGAGATTTCTAGATCTCGAACGAACTTCGAACGAACGAATTTCTTGAATCAACTTAATTACACACACAAAATTCCTTCAGAATCGGTCCAGCCGTTTAGGAGTTCAGTCACACACAAGGACAGAAGAATTATGTATATATAAATATTAGGTCCTTACATATGAAATTGGCGTTTTGTACGGGAGGAATATAAAGTTATTTTTTTTGTAGAATATATTATATATATAACTAATCAAAGTATGCACCGTTGTTATTTATGCACTTTTGCCATCTCATAGGTAGTTCATTGATTCCTTTATTAAAAAAAAAAACACGCGAGCGAGAATCAATAAACTCTTTGAAGGCGGTATGGACTGCCGCATCGGAGTTGAAGTTTTTTCCTTGTGTTAAGTTGTCTAAATTCCGGAAAAAATGGTAATCTGTTGGAGCAAGGTCCGGGGAGTGCGGTGGATGTCGCAGAAATCCCAATTGTAGCTTATCTAACTTAGTGGTTGTTTGTTGTGCAGTGTATGGTCTTGCGTTGTAGTGAAGCAGTAGTGGCCTAGAGCAATTGACCAATCTCAGTTGTTTAGCAGCTAGTTCTTCCTTCGTGGTTTGCAGTTGCTGACAATAGATATCTGCCGTAATTGTTTGGCCAGATTTTAGAAAGCTGTTGTGAACTTCACCGGCGCTAGTACAGCAAACACTCACAAGTAACTTTTTCTGAGTCGATTTTCGTTAGGGCAGGATTTGGCTGGGTTTCCAGGGTTCAGCCATTGTGACGAGCGTTTCCGATTATTGTACACTATCCACTTTTCATCACAAATAATGATTTGATTTAAAATCCCTTCATTATTGTGTCGGTTGAGTAAAGTAACACAGCAGTCGACGCGTGTTTGCAAGTTCGATCACTCAATTCATGAGGTACCCATCGTTCAAGGTTTTTTACTTTCCCGATTTGCTTCAAGTGGATTAATACAGTTTTATCACTTACCCCGAAGCCTGCAGCTATCTTTGAAGTGCTTTGTGATGGATCTGCTCCCACAATAGCCTTTAATTCTTCATTTTCCACGTTGGTCTCCTGCCGTCCATAGGGTTGGTTCTGAAGGTCGAAATTTCCAGAACGAAAACGTTGAAACCAAAAACGTACCGTGCTTCCTTTTGCGACACCAGTGCCGTACACATCATTAATCCTTCGAGCTATTTCTGCAGCACTGGTGCCACGGTAGAACTCGTATTCGTAAATATACCATGTTTTCATTGTGCGGTAATAAGCGAATTTTCAAAACTCAAATGTACCAGCTAAATGAATTTATAAATTTGAATTTTGAATTCTTAACCAAAGAGGAGATATTTCACATCAAAGTGGTCAGTACGACAAAACGCTAATTTCATATGTAAGGACCTAATATATAAATATTTTGCTATCGTTTAATTACATATAAAGTACATTTCGACGAACGCATCTTTTTATTATTTACCTAAAAATAGACACAGTATATACTGCTGTTGTGGTCTTTGGTTTTGGGTTAGTTTACTCCATTTTACATTTGATAGAACCTTAGCTTATCACAGCATGTGGTTTCAACTTGGTTGAGATGTGAGTGTTATCTCTGACACTGCGTTATAACCTTACTCCAATCTCATTAAATTTATTGATTTGTATTGCTTACGGTTCTGATTCAGCATTTTGAGATAGATGTGCCACCATCAGTTGATCATAAGAGCCTCCTCCATCCAATCAATGGTTACTTTTACGTAAAATATATGAAATTCTTTTTAGGTATATATTCTAAGCAAAATACTGTAACAATGAAAACGTATTTCAAAATTTAGGGGTAACTTTGTGGTTAAATATATCATAAATCACACGATTACGGACTAGGAGACCATTACGTAGGTTACAGTATGGACGGCTCGCGTGTGAATAATGTATTCAATTAATTTTGTGTACTTTGTTACGGTTTGCTTTGAGTATTTTTTTATATGCTTAAATTAAAGCCTTTTTAATCATCATCATTAAAGCTCTTCGCACGTTTACTACTGTATATATCCCTTTAAGTTTCTACTATCACTACCACTACCACTCATATCTCACAGGAAATATAAGTACTGGAACGGATTTTGTCAAATAAGTCCTTTTCGTTCACGTACTGATATAGGTACCCACCTAAATAATTACTATAACGTTTGTCTTTTCAACCAACTTTGGAGGTTCTCAATTCGACTGTATTTTTTTTGTGCTACCGCAGAACTTCTCACTTGGTGAACCGATTTTAATGATTATTATTTTATTTGAAAACTGGTGCATCTCATGTGGTCTCACATAAATTTTCTGACTAGTAGTTTTTTAGTTATCCCTAATAATGCGTTTTTAATTGAGAACATCATCAATATAGTCGATATTGATGAAGTTCTCATTTTATTCATATAGAAATCCGTTGTATAAAATTTTTAATTTTACCACTTGTTTACATTTCGTTTTTTACTTATTGAATATGTCTTTTACAAAATGATGTGAAGATTAAAAACCTAATTAAAAATATTGGGTCTCTGTGTGTTTCTACTAGATCCGTTTATTTTTGTATTTTTTATCTTTTATATATATTTTTGACAGTGTTAAAATATAGGTAAATAAATGTCTTATGACTGCTCGTGTATTTTGCCCAAGACAGCGGCAGAATAACAGTGCTGCGGCAATGTTTCTTACGATAGCTTACACTGATTCGGTGACCGCTTTGTTGCTGCAGCCTTATTGCTTTTTGTTTCTTGTGTTGTAGCTACAAATAAATACTATACATTCTTCTTTCTTTTTTCCACCCAAATAATGTCACAAAACACGGGAGTGGTTCACCTATATAAATCGACTTCATGCATGACCTATCAGGTCCTTACTCAATATTGTAAGGTGCTACTACCCTTTGTTAACCGGTACGAGACTGCCAATCGGGAATGGCCGGCACATTGCCCCTTCTATTTACTGATCCATTGAGTTAAGACGGTTACTTTTGGTTTTACTGCGGAGAACTTCTTTACGCAGTAAAAGTATTTTCAACAAGTTGTTATTCACGTTATACTAAATGGCATTTATTAGATATTTTTTATTTTTAAGTATTTAAAAAGAAGTTTAGTTGTTTAGTTGCAATGCAATTAACACTATGGAGCTTCCATTTTCACTAATTGTAAAATGCGTGTGCTGTGAGTAGTTTATTTATAATAAAAAAAATAAACATGTATGAAATTATTCTCCAAAGTGTGCAACATAAATTGAAATACTTTTAGAATAAACTAAACGCAAACGAAACACAAAAGTAAACTTCGACGAGCTGGCTACTCTAGCTAAGCAACTAAGCATGCTTGGTTGTTGTGACAAGTAACAAAACATTCGCGCAAATACATGCCTCTTAACTAAAACAATCAGCTTTTACAGCTACTAAAAATTCACTGAAGTCGAATTTTTAGTAGCAAATAGTAAATTTTTAATAATAATCGATTTACAGCGTTAAAAATAAAATAGCAAAAAGAAAGTTAAAAACTAAGACCCTTTAATATCATCATCATTGCAGCTCTTCACAAGTTCACTGCTGAACATAGGCCTTCCCCAAGGGATGCCACAAAACACGGTCCAGTGCCACCTGTATCCATCGACTTCCTGCATGTCTTACCAGGTCGTCACTCCACTATGGAAGGATGTTCTACACTTCGTCTGCCGGTACAAGGCTGTCACTCGACAACCTTTCTTCTCTATGTATAGTATAGTAATCGGTTCTTTTAGCTATATGGCCGGCCAATTGCCACTTCATCATACTCAAACACTTTAATATATGTGTCATTGCTATATTAAATGACTAGTAATGTCGTATCGATACGGCTGTATGCAAAATTATAAAGTTATTTAAATTTAAAAAAAACCCCTAGTAAATCTGTTTGTCGTGGTTTGGTTTTAACTTTATTTTTATTTCAATCATTTTTGAAGTAAGAAATCGTTGCGGATGTGTAGCTTAGTTCTTTACTACCTGTTCCAGTGAAGAAATAACTGAACTTTATTTTTTTTATAAAAATTTTTCAACAATACCTCATGAGTAAATACTATGAGTAATTTAGGAGATCTGAGGTAATAAAACCTAACCCTCATTTTGGCTTTGTTGTTGTGAGGTAAAAATTGCTACTTAGTATGCATGTATACATATATTTGTTTTACGTTTTTGAAGTATGTAACAAGATTATTAACAGAAAAAGTACCTACTGACAACTGTAATTCACAGTAGTTTTGAATATAATTTTATTTATGTGCGTTTTATGTACTTTAAAATACAGAATACGTTGTTGTCATGCAGTTAATTTTTTTTATAAGTGTACATTTGCGTGTAATTTGTTTCTCTGAATCTGCTTTAACAATTTAAGTAAATGCTTGTGTTAATATTTGATGTAGATAATATTTTGCTTGCCCAGTTTATCTAGATATGTAGGTGTAATCTCTGAAAAAATTATACTTATTTTGGACGATGATTGACGCCAGTCGTTCGTCTAGGTATTAGTTGTTTGAAGTGAAAACTAGAATCGTTGTGATTTGAAACTCGTTGAATCGAAAAAGCGTCACTAAAAAGAGACAAACACTCTCGCAGGCTAAATCCTTTACACATGTAAAAGATTTAGCCTGCGAGAGTATGAGATAGAGGAGTAAGTGACAGGGCTGTGGGTTCGAATCCACTGTGGCGGCGCTGTCGTCGCGCCACAAGCGAAACATCGAAGCCTAAATCGCGCTTACAAAGTTTCGAAGTTAAAGCAGCATATATAGAATCGCTCCGAACTATCAATCGGAGCGTTAGCCGCTCCCCGGGTAGAACACCTTGGCCCGGCGGGAGATCTCCCCTTTTCCTTCCACCCACCACACCACCATTAGACTACTGTCGTCAACAACTCCTCACACAATCATTTTCAGTTTACCAGGGGCGATGAAGGAGAATATTTGTAATGCTAATAGCGTTGCTAGTATTTTTTTAGAAAAGAAATCAGTGTTTCCTATTATCTTGGTGTCCTTTTGTGCAGTGCTTTAAAGATAGTTACTATAAATTTTAACTGTTAAAATAAACAGTTAAAAAAATTACAAATTTATAAAATAAATAAAGTTAACTTTATGGAATAAAATGACCACATCCAATCCATTCATTAAAATTCACTATTTCATAACTTCAGACCTTCTAGCGTCTATTTTACGTACTAGCTTGAGTATCAATCAATTTTTGTTCGATAAAATGACTTTAGATAACATAGAATGAAGTATATGTCGCTATTACAAAGCAACTCGAAAGAAAATATCATTTTGATTTAATGATGAGTGTCTAAAAATAAGGATTGTAATATTTATTTACTTTAAAATTAAGCTTTTATCTTATATTTTATGCCCCCCATGTGGTTGAAAATTATCAAATGAAATAAATCATTTGCCGTGAAATATTTTTATTTATTTCATTTTATCTGAACTAAACTAAGACTTACTTCTACCGCGTGAAAACTGCACAATGCACACATGATTTTCCCCTTTGGTTATGGACTCACAAGGTTACACTTTTGCCAATGGCAAATATAAAGAAGTTATCCTTTATGATTTGTTTACAAAAGCTCTTCACGATATGTTTATGATCCAAATTAATGAGTTTCTGGGAAATTTTGACAATAGTTCAAGCCAGCAGATAGTCGATGACGATAGTATCTCAAGTCTTAAGGTGTCTAAGCATTCCAACAATTTAAGTTATCTATAACCATCATAGCACTTATGTCATCGTTTCCACTTATAGTTCACATCATATATTGTGTGCATTTTGCACAGTAGTTCGCAGTACCAGTCGTCCAGCATCTTCGACGCCGCTGTCCGTCACTAGTCTAGGTATTTCAAGTCTTGCGAAAACGAGACGCTTGAACCGGCATTAATCCGATACCATATCTTATTGTCGCCTTTTACGACGCCTGCGGAACGAAATAGGGCGATGAATTCACTAAACTTGTGAGTTAAGAGAACCTATCTCCCTATTTCGTCAAGTTTAGGCGGTACTATAAGAAGCAGGTAAGGCCTAGGGGTTGGCTTCAGATTGGCGGAGGTATCACATCTCGTTTACGTTATACATAACATATGCGATAAGAATCGCCGGTGTAGGTAGCTTCAATACTGTCTCGCAGTATTGCTATTGCTATTGCTGTGATTGACACTCCATCCGTCCAGTTTGGCGATTTTGATAAATCAGTAAAGATTCTACTATTCTTTCCAGGTCAGTACTACTACTTGAAAACGTCTTCAATTGCAACGCCTAAAAGCTTCGATTATATTTTTTTTTAGTTATTGTTGTATTGTAACATGTGTTATCCCGAGAAGCTGAAACTGCTTCGCAACGAGAATTGCGGCTCACAGCTGACCGCGAACGGCATATATTATCTCGCGAGTCCGAAACCTACACTGAGAGGGAATTACGTCTCACAGCTGACCACGAACGGCATACATTATCTCGCGAGTCCGAAACCTACACTGAGAGGAAATTACGTCTCACAGCTGATTGCGAACGGTATGTACTATTCCGTGAGTCCGAAACCTACACTGAAAGGGAATTACGTCTCACAGCTGACCGCGAACGGCATACATTATCTCGCGAGTCCGAAACCTACACTGAAAGGGAATTACGTCTCACAGCTGATCGCGAACGTCATATTTTATCTCGAAAATCTGAAACTTTTACTCAATATGAAGACCGTTTGACAAATGATAGGGTGCACCATAATATTATTCGATCTCTTGAAGATGAATATTTGCATGAACAACGACTAGAGTCGGGACGCGAATATTACAATTCTTTGAGACAAGAACGATTAATAAGTTTGTCTAATGAGAGATTAAGTATGGAAAATATTCGGTCCGTCTTACTGCAGACAGATTTCGACATAGTCTTAATGACTTAGATGTACACATAGAAGATCAATCTACAAATTCGGTGGCGTGGTTCGACAAATATAAAAGTGGGTTTGCTTATAACCTCACAATTGATTACAGATCATCTTCTGTAATAGGCGATATGAACGTAGTATGTTCTTTTTGTAATGCTTCAAAGTGGAGTAAGGAATCGGCTGGTTTCTGTTGTTCTGGAGGTAAAATAAATTTGCCTTCGTTCGAAGATCCACCGGAACCTTTGAAATCACTACTTTTAGGGCAACATGTGCAATCTAAACAGTTCTTAGACAATATTCGCACTTATAATAGTGCGTTTCAAATGACATCTTTGGTGCTCAACAAATCTCAGAAGGTCCTTTCATGCCTACTTTTAAGATACAAGGTCAGGTTTACCATTTGATAGGATCCCTTTTGCCTGAAGACCAACCTAAGTTTCTTCAAATATATTTTGTATCCGACTACAACGAACAGTCGAATATAAGAAATCAATATTTCCCGAATTTAAATACTGAACTTATTACACAACTTCAGAACATGTTGCATCAGGTTAATTCGTATGTATGCAGTTTTAAATCGGCATTAGAAGCTCTTCCTCAAGATGGTGATAACAATTATAAAATTGTTATAAATGCCGATAGGCGTCCAACTCAGGAACACCCTGGGCGTTATAACGTTCCATCCACGAATGAAGTTGCTGTAGTATTGGTCGACCAAGAATGTGGTAGGTGTGATATCGTTATCCGTTCCAGAGACAATCGTTTGCAAGGTATTTACGAAACCCACAGGCCACCACCACCACACCACAAACACCACATAACATCACAAACTTACGACAGTTTGCAATATCCTTTGATATACTCTCGAGGGGAAGATGGTTATAATTTCGCTTTATACCAAAATGATCCGCGTACAGGCGCACCTAATTATAATAAAAAGATGTCATGCCTTCAATTTTATTGTTACCACTTGCAAGTGAGATGAAATAGATTTGTATACTTTCAACGTTTTCGTGGCTTATTCAATCATTTATTCTTGACATGTACGCAAAAATTGAAACCGAAAGATTAGTTTATATACGATCTAATCAAAGGCAGCTGCGCGCTGAAGAATACGTGCACCTTCGCGATGCCATGCAGCAAGATAATGATACGGTGAATATGAGCCGTTTAGTTATTTTACCCTCTTCTTTTACTGGTGGTCCACGCTACATGCACGAACGTACTCAAGGTGCTTTTTGTTACGCAAGAAAATATAGACGTGCCGACTTATTTATTACTGTAACTACCAATCCCAAGTGGGATGAAATCACTCGGGAGCTTATTAAGGGTCAAGCACCGCATGACCGCCATGATATTCGCAAGAGTTGTTCATTTAAAATTAAAATCAATGATAGATCTACTTACCAAAGATAAAATTTTTTGGAGATGTATTGTGTTATATGTATAGTGTTGAGTGGCAAAAACGCGGCTTACCTCACGCACATATCCTGCTTTAGTTAAAAGATAAGGTTCGATCTAATGATGTAGACAGTTCAATCAGTGCTGAAATTCCAGATCCGATTGCAGATCCCGTGTTATACGACATTGTTAAAACTCATATAATACATGGTTCATGTGGTGCATTTAACGGGAATGCTCCTTGCATGCAAGACGGCCGTTGCACTAAAAGATATCCAAAAGCATTAGTGGATGAAACTGTAACAGGACATGATGGATACCCATTATATCGTCGACGTTCAAGAGACAATGGTGGTTTTACTGTTGAAAAGCGAGTTTCTGGACAACAGGTTACTTTAGATAATAGGTGGGTCGTTCCGTATTCGCCTGTGATGTCTAGAGCATTTCAAGCTCACATAAATGTTGAAATATGTAATAGTGTAGAGTCAATAAAATATATTTGTAAGTATATTAACAAGGGCAGTGACCAAGCTACATTTGCGTTGAGAAATGAACATGATGAAATTACTAGATTTCAGTCAGCCAGATATATCAGCTCCTCAGAAGCTGTGTGGCGGATCTTAAGTTTCAACATTCACGAAAGATATGTTCCATCTGGTGACAAGGTGACTCATCTGGATGTTCATCTTGAAGGCGGTCAACGTATATATTTCAACGCCGAAAATGTTACAGCACAATTAGAGAACCCTAGACAAACAACTTTATTACCATTCTTTCGATTTTGCCAAACTGATGATTTTGCAAAATCTATTTTGTATGAGGAAGTTCCATCGTATTATACCTACGATAAGCAACGAGGTGTCTTTAATCTTAGACGCCGTGGCAGGCCTGTAGATGGCGAGTCAGGTATTTTCAAAGAACATGTCCTTGGTAGAGTGTATACCGTTCATCCTAACAACGCTGAGGGTTTCTATTTGCGATTATTATTACATACAGTGCGAGGACCAACATCATTTATAGATTTGAGAAAAGTAGACGATGTTGTTTATCCAACTTATCATGCAGCTTACCAAGCGCGTCGTTTGCTTGAAAATGATCAGCATTGGGATGACGCTTTAGCAGAATCCTGTGTTAGTGATAATCCACGACGGTTACGCCATTTATTTGTAACATTACTCATATTTTGTAATTTGTCAGATGCTGTACAATAATGGGAAAAATATAAAGAAAAATTTGCAGAAGACTTTCTTCGGAATATATCTCACAATAATGAAGGGGCAACTAATGATAATTTCCGTGATCTTGCCATAAATCTGTGCTTATTAGCTCTTCAAGAAGACTTAACAGCAGTAGGCGGTAAATCACTCTGTGAATATGGTTTGCCAACACCAACCTCAGTCGGGAATGTTTCCA